TTGGGCATTTATTTACCGCTACAATATAATTCGTGCCTTAGTGTATTACATTAACTTTCCCCCAATCACTGTAGGATTAGTCGTTCAAGCTTAAACGAGAGTTCTTATTTTACAAGATATGTTCCTATTTTAGTGAAAGAAACTATATCTACACAAATTGTACAGTTAGTCACGTGCAAGCATCTCCTGCTGTTAAATAAATCCGACTCACAAGAATTAGTGTGTCTTAGTAGCTAGACTATCCTCTATAGTTACTGAAAAAGGCCTGAATTTGCACTTCAACATTAGTTCGGATATTGTTTATTGAAAGTTCGAATGATGGTGGCATGTGTAAAGTTTCCGAATGGAGACAAAACTTTTAGGGAATTTGTCAAGAGTGTAAGTCCTTGCCTTTTCCTCGTTTTTATGAATTGGGTGATGTCTATAGGCTGTAAGACGTACTTTTAATATGTCAGGAGTGGAAATGTGTAAGTTGTACTAGCCGGAACAACAAAAAACGTCTAAATCTTTTCCCCTTATCTTATCGTAGGACGCGAGGTGACCTTATACTGGCATTTCGTATCTTTAATTATGATCTGGGTGTTAATATGTCCTACCTTTTTGCTCCCTCCAGCACTAATCTCCGGGGTCATAGCAAGAAGGTTCTGAAACCGCGATCTAATAAACTAAAGGTGGGGTCCCGTTTTTCTCATCGAGTGGTCAATGACTGGAACGCTTTACCAGAACAAGTGGTATCAGCACCATCAGTGAACATTTTCAAAAATAAGCTGGACCTTCACTGGAAGGAAATCTGTCAGGATTAACACAGGTTCATCAACCTACTATCCTTATTACTGAAGACTGAATAAATTCCTGAATGATTTCAACGTCATGTATACATGGTTACTCATTAAATATAAAATGAAATTAACTTCTGTATACTGACTTTGTAATGCAGTCATGCACATTTCTAGATATATCCTTTGCACATAGGAAGACACATAAAGTCATTTTATTTCAGATTCAGACAGAAGGTTTACGACCCATGTTAGTCGTTTTCCGGTAAGATTCTGTGTGTCTAGTCATCTCTCGAATGAGTCGATTTAAGGTATGGACACCGCTGCTTCAAATAACAGGTTCCCAAAATTGATGACTCAATGTGATGACTGACATCACCGTGTGTGAAAATTAGGTTCAAGAGAGGTGAAGAGTTTTGTTGGTTATATCTCGTGGGATCTCTAATGTTCTGGAATATGGGTATCATTACCAATGTTTGACTTGATAAATTCAAATAAATTTAGCATTGGGTAGATTGTTATAAATAAAAATAAAATATTTGTAATGTCAGATGGGATTTTGAGGATATTATAGTAATTTTAATAGTTAGGGTCATTAGTCAAGTGAAACTAGACCACCATGGAGAACCTGGAAACAATGGACCCCCGCTTCGTATTATTGTGTTACTCATGATCTCAACTATTAAAATTATAATATCCACAAAACCCCTTCTGATATTGTTCAACATACGCTCACTAGTGACTGGCTTCAAGAGGTATTTCCTGGAGTTCTAGTGAGAAGCGGTGACCAGTAGAGTTCAACCGAGTCTGTTGTGATATAGTAACTCACTGAAGACAATGGTGAATGTGTCGCCCAATTTCGTGGATTACTTGAGGTTAGACATTAACACCATTGGATGCCGCCCTAGAGGTTAAGCGTTCGCGCGCGAGGCCGGTAGGTCCTGGGTTGGAATCTCGCGAGGCGGGATCGTGGATGCGCACTGCTGAGGAGTACCGCAATAGGACGAAATGGCCGTCCAGTGTTTCCAGGTTTTCCATGGTGGTCTAACTTCAAATGACTCATGACCTCAACTATTAAAATATTTTTAATACCCAATGAGTAGAAAAATTAGATTTTCTTTCTCTTTGTGACTCAGTGTGAATCACTTCTTCAGAGGAAAAATAACTAAATCAAAATCGCAGTTTCTAACAATTTGCAATCGAATGATGCTCTTAAGTTTCCCCAATTTATAGACGGTGCATTAAAGCCGCCTACTATAAGGCTTTTGCCTCTGTTACACCAGGGTTTAAGTTTGCTTAGGAGAAAGTCATCCACTACACATTCTGGACTGCCGTATACTACAACTTTCAATATTTTGCCGTCTATACTCCAGCCTACAGCTCACCAGTTCACATGTGCCTGAGTCGTGTGCCACTTTATTTATTTAATCACATACATATTGGTACAAAGGGCACCAGATACATATGCGCTACGCAAAATAATGAGAATGGGAGGGAAAAGAGGGAAGATGCGTATATATATATATATATATAAAGGAAGCAAAAAAGGATGAATGGGGGGAACTGAAATGTACAACCAGAAGAACTCTCTCAGTTAAGAAAGTTATAACCACTCTTTATGAAGAAAGCAAAAGAAGGTTACAGCAGGATCGCCACTGGCTTCTATTCTGAGCCATATCTGGTAGCGTCTGTAGTCACTGTGTTGCACCATCTCTCGAACCCCATCCAGGGAGTCGTGAAGGACCAACAGAAGCTAGCCCTTTGCAGCTTTCTTTCATACACCGACCACCTCTCCGCTTTTTCCAAGCGTCGGCAAATGATGTACAACGTGGAATTCTCTGGCACGACATTCGTAAAACATGTCCAAGCCACCGAAGTCGGTGTTTCAAGATGGTGACACCAATTGAATTATCGTCCCTGTGTCCGAACACACGATGCCGAACCTCCGCATTACTAACATGGTGTTGCCACTGGATGTCAGCAATCCTTCGGAAACAACGATGATCGAACACAGAGTCGTTTAACATCCTCAACTCGGAGAGGCCAGGTTTCACAAGCATAGAGCAAAACTGCTCTCACCGACGCGTTGTAGATCCGACCTTTTACAGCCAGACTAACATCACGAAGGCGCCAAAGATGGCCCAGATTGGCATAAGTCGCTCTGGCTTCCATTATACGTGCATCGACCTCATCACTCACGCTACCACCAGCACTTATGTAGCTACCTAGATACACGAACTTCTCAACTACTTCAATCTGCTCACCATTCAGGGTGAGTACAGGATGAGAATCCTGCCAGTCTTGTAGGAGTACTTTGCACTTGGAGGGTGCAAAGCACATGCCGTACCTGCGGACACTGATTGCCAACTGATTAAGTGCTGATTGCATGCCTTGGGCATTATCGCACAGTAAGACAATATCATCCGCATACTCGAGGTCGAGAGGTCGTTCTCCAGGCAACATATCCACACCGCCATTACTTACATCCATCAGAGCTGTTTCCAGGATGTCATCGATGGCAAAGTTGAAGAGGAATGGTGAGATCGGGCAACCCTGCCTAAACCCACTGCTCGAATGGAACAAGGGAGAAAGGTGGTTGTATGCCCTCACTCTGCCTGAGGTGTTCGTACATACGGCTGCCACTGTCTCGATAGCGTGCATGATTAAGGTACTTTTCGTGTACAGGATAACCCCATCACCCCTACAGTTTAGTCTATCAGCCCTACTAAGTAAGAAACCAAGCAATTGGATCTCACTATCATACACTTCTGACGTTAATCATATTTCTGAGATGGCAATGACATAGTTTTCTATTTCCATCACTCTTTTAAGCTCCACCATTTTATTATGTGGGTTGCGAATATTTGTATAGCACACTCTTAATTCTGTGAAGAACTTTCCGTTACCACCTATAGTGGTTTGGGAATTGTTTTGGTCCGAACTTTTGCAATCTGAAAACCCCTAAGCATAAAGTTTTTTCACCGTTCCGGTGGCGCTCACTTATTTCTATCTCTGCCAATCATCTCTTAATATGATCAATCAGGCTCACGGACATGTATTCCGGATCCAGTCAGTTTGAATAAATTTTCCAGTATTAAGTTTCATTCTTCATTAAAAGTAAAGATAATTTTTAAGAAGCGGCTTTTCTGGGTACTTGTAGAATCCACTTTTCTTCCTTTTCTCTAAAGCTCATGGATGCTAACTCCTACTACTGTTTATGGAAGTAGTTTGCTTATTAATGATTTAATGGGGCTTAGGTAGTGTTCAAATCTAGCCTTTGGTTCCTTTTCGGAATATCTTGAACTTATGAAAATCACTTGTCTCTTAAAACGTTCCCATACCTGCAATCTAATCAGGCGTCATACGCGAAGGTCTCACTTTGTTTCCTTCCGTTTCCATTTCTGGATGTAACTATAAGCCAATCATTGACTCTAATATGTCTATTGATCACATCATTTACACCACTCAGGCTTTTCTCCTCCATAGTCTGTTTTGCGTTGATATGTGAATCCGGAGCTGAAATCGTCGACTCATATCTTAGAGCCCCCTATAATTTGTTTCTTCTCAGCGTGCTCTCTTTTTTCCTCTAGCCATCCCTACATCTGTGTTTGTTATTCGCTACGTTATTGGGATCAACCTTGACGATTTCATTCATATCCATATCTGGACTCGTGATAATGCTCATCGCTTCCTCGAAAACTAAAAATTGTTCACCTGCCTCTGGCTGTTTATTTGAGGGCATTTTTCTAGCTATGTTCAGCTCGATTGTGTCAAGAATTAGTGGAGACTTTGTGGAGCTGCATGCTTTGCACAACCAATATGATAGTGGCTAGCAGCACCCTTTATATGCAGCTGGTGTGAGTCCGGTGAACACGTTGCGGTACCACTTGTCGCAGTTGTCACATTGCCCCCGAATTCCCTAGCATGGCCGAGGATGAAGAAAGTCCACTCTCCTTTTGGAAATGCTCTTACATAGCCACGTGTATACAGTCACTGCCAGAGGACTCCTACTCACCATCTTGTGGCATTTCTGTTGTTTACGAAATTGAGGGGGGGGAAAGCGAATGCCCGGCGCTTTAACCGGGTTGGTGGATATGGAGGATCCACCTAGGGGGGTTGGAGAACCCTGATTCCAAACCAACGATGAACATGGGCTCCAGGATCCCGAGGGAACAAAAGGCGCACGAACCCATTGTTGATCACCGGCTGTCATAGGACTGAACCTCCTTACGTTGCTCTACTGTCTTGTGGATTAGACCTTTAGGTCAAAGGTTTGAGTAGTGACCCCCTAACAAAACCACCTGCTTTGGTTTGGGCGCCCGGGCAGTATCCCAATCCTCGCATAAATCAATGATAACTACCACTGGCCTCATTGTTATTGTGTGGCGCATGTGCATTTGATACCCCTTTGTATCAGTGTTTATGCGTTCAAATAAATAGATAAATTTGTCGCATTGCATTCCATCTTCAACCGAAAAAAGCATGAGGGTCCACCACAACGATGTTTTACGTGCGTCATCAAAATTGTTTAGTTATCTCACAGAGAGAACAGAAAAACTGATCTCTATGATGTATTTTTTAAGGCTGTAAATGTGGTAGAAACTGAACACAAAGTGCTGAAATTTATATGGTACTGTAACTGAAGAAAAACTTGACTCAACACAAAAAAGCCTTTATACCTTTGGATGCAATCAATACTAAAAGATTTACCTAACGAGGGAAAATACCATTGTCTTTTTTGTTTCTTTACTTAAAAAGTACAAATGATAAATTACTTTAAAAAGAAGATACTCTTGACAATAAAAGCGAAAATAAGTAGTCTTGATGCGTAATGAACGATCGACACAGCAAACTCAGAAAGGAAAAATACCACTTTATTTTTGAAATCCTGTTTATCTCCATTCACGAAGTTCTAATAGTATAATCCTTTTTTATCTTTCTATTTTGCTGCTTTACATAACCTCAAACTACGAGTGTTTTAGCCTGTCTGTCTTTCTTTTCACTGTTCATACCCCAAGGGCAGTGATCCATTGCTACTGGATACGAAAGCTTTATTAAGTGTAAGCTTCTGTTTTGTTCGTAAACATTTTAACCCAGTGAAAACGCTGCTAGCTCTTTGAAGCTCTACACTATCGTCACCTTCAAAGAAGACAATTACTAGTCCCAATAAAAACCTTGAGGTCATTAATGCAGATTTAAACTATACAGTCCACCCCACGAAAAATATTTACTCATGAAATCAGCTTGTTAATTTACTTTTTTCGAATATTTTCTATACTATAGTTGCCTGTTGAATGTTAAACAGGATGACATCTCTTGATCTCTACTTGTCAACCCTACCACTTTATATAATTACATCTAACCTAACTAAGTGCACTTTAGATTGAAGAATATATGATATATATATATATATATATATATATATATATATATATCTTTATATGTTTTCGCATAGGTCATCCAACCCAAAAGTAACGGCAGTCCAATGTATTGATTCGGATGGCCTTTGTATTGCCTCTCATGGGACTGTAAATGACCAAACCGCAGGAGTTCTCAGTAGCATATATAAACATGCAGCAGGTATTGAAGAAAGCTCCGAATCGCCAGTTTTAATAATTGAGTTTGAGTCAAAGTAGGTAATCCTTATACATATATTGTGTTGTTTTGTACCTACAGATCAATTATTTTGTGTGAAGTGTATGGGGTTTTAACTGTTGTTCATAAGAATCAGTGACGCCGCATCAACGGTCATACGGTGACAACTGCCTTCAGAGTCCTTCGAAGCAACACTGATACCTCCAAATATATAGCTACTGAACAAAATCCCGGCTATCATTATGGTATAAGTTTCTTAAACACGACCATTTACTCATTTTATCCAAATTAATTAAAAATGTATCATGCACTGTTAATTTTCTATCTTTGAATGGAGACTCATAAACTCGTAGGATCAAATAGTTCTTAGGAAAGCACAAACAGAATTTTGACAAATTGACCTCTCAAAATCGATTATGTGTAACTGTTTTAAGCATTCGACTGCTGTTGCCCCTGAAACATCATATTCGAGAAATGCAGTTTAAATAAACATAGGGAAATTGTTTAATTCCACCTCAAACATCTACCTAGTGGGATAATGGAGTCTTAATTTTATAATAACGATGCTAACATGCGATAGCTGTAAAGATAGAATAAAATCTTGTTGGACCGCGTTGACTAAAATATAACATTTTGCTTGGTTACAACTTAGTGCTTCTTATATGATATGTAAGTTTTCCCACCCATTTTCTGAACAAAGCTTCACCATAACCATTACTGTTCACAGGATGTAAAGTTAAGATAATCGAACTAGGATTGTAAGGAAATTAAGTGTTGTCTCAATTCCTTCCAGGTCAAACCACTCGCTATTGCCGTTCACTTATCACTTGCTATTTACTAATCCTAACCAAGAAGTAATCGTTTTACACATCTCAGCTTACCATCCAATTTACTATTGCGTTGATCCCGTTTAGTTTTTGGTCTTAAAATGTACAAGGAGCTCTCAGTCTGATTTTCCGAGTAAAATCATGTATGTTCGGAAGATACGTTGATGGACTTTTTATAGATTCTTCCCCTCTCGGTCTATTTTCTCTCATGCAGTATATAATGTCACCTACAAGTCCCATATATGGAGATTCACTGAGTCGCTAAATTTTAGGTTCGAACGCGCTCCACCTACTTTCATTTTTTATTACTTGAATCATTCGGGTTTAACCGATAAAAGTGGACGCTGACTGGTACACATAATGTCCACACTTTACTCCTCACAATTCATTCTTGGGACCCGAGTAGCATAATAATTCCAGGAACAAAAATTAGGGCTTGAACACATAAATCTATACCTGGTAAACGAGTTTTATCAAACAGTTATCTACCTTAATATTTGCTGGTTTCGAATACTAGTAGGATCCGTCAGTTTAAATCTTAATATCTAATTTCAACTCATGAGACATAAGTAAATTTTCCAACTGTAGATTAATATAAAGCGATTCTCAAAATAAATCGTTAGTATTTTGACTTCTTATTTTAGTTGGTAAAATTTATTTATTTGAACACATAAATATTGGTACAAAGGGGCACCGAATACATATGCGCCACACATATCTCATTTGATTTGTGTGAGGGCTGTGATACTGCCCAGGTGCCCAAATTGAAACAGGTGGTTTTCTTAGGGGGCCACACCTCGAGCCTTTGACCTTAAGGTCTAGCACACAAGGCAGTGGAGCATCGTGAGGAGATGCATTCCCATGGTAGCCGGTGACCAACGTTTGATTCATACTCCATTTGTTCTCTCAGGATACTGGAGCCCATGTGCACCATTGGTTTGGAATCAGGGTTTTCCAACTCCCCTAGATGGACTTTCCGTGTACACCAACCCGGTTAAATCATCGGTCATTCGCTTTTCATCCTCTCAATTTCGTAAACAACAGTAATGTGACGAGAAGGCAGTGAGTAGGACTTCCCTGACAGAGGCATTTCGAGAGGGAGAGCGAACTCTCGACCGTATCAGGGCATTTGGGAGCGCTTTGTTAATTAGTGTGGATTATTCAACGCACATTTATATGCAGGAAAATAAGATTTGGTCAACAGTTAATATTAATTTGGTTTGAGATTTTAAGCGACTGTTCATAGAAAGAAGAAAAACAGTATTTACTTACAAAGGTTAATTTGGATGCCTAGACATACAATTCTCAATAACAAACCATTAGTTTGAATACAACGGTTTATGATTGTTTATATTCTCGACGCAGCTTTGAGAAACTTTACATATACGCATGTTTAATAAGAGTGAAGAAATTATAATCCATGGATGAACCAATCAGATATAAGGTAACAGGTCTCGAATTTTTGGCACGAAATTTATCCATTTAGTTGAATAGCTTTTTGGCATTTCAGCTGATGTCGTCGTCTGAGTATTAATTCTATCAGAGAAGAGACATGGTTGCTAATTTTCGCTCCTCGGCTTTGTAACTCACTACATATGAAACCAACTTTCTATGGAAGGATACATCAAATGATATCACATATTCCCTGTTCACTTTTAAATCTCTAATTCTATCAACAAATTCAAAACTATCTCTTACACTCGAATTCACTTAGTATTGTTTGTTTGGGTCTTCCCATCGATGTGTTTAGGACTGCAACTGGTCAGTCTCTAATTGGCATATGTGCATACTGTGCGTATTGCCTCGATATACCTTAATTCACAAGCATGGTAAGCAGAGATGGATAGTGGCTAGCAGTGGAATCCAGTTTGACGCGCGTTTCGTCCTATTTGGGACTCGTCAGCTGGATGTACCTGCATCTCAGAGTTGATGTTCACTCTGGGACTCGAACCCAGTACCCTCGCTTCAAACGCCATCGCGTTATCCACTCGGCCACTGAGTCCTGATAGCCACTTGCTTGTGCGATGGGGTGAAGTTTAAATTCACTTAGTATTGTTTGTTTGGATCTTCCCATCGATGTGTTTAGGACTGCAACTGGTCAGTCTCTAATTGGCATATGTGCATACTGTGCGTACTGGCTATCAGGACTCAGTGGCCGAGTGGATAACGCGATGGCGTTTGAAGCGAGGGTACTGGGTTCGAGTCCCAGAGTGAACATCAACTCTGAGATGCAGGTACATCCAGCTGACGAGTCCCAAATAGGACGAAACGCGCGTCAAATTGGATTCCACTGCTAGCCACTATCCATCTCTGCTTATCTCTTACACTGCTATACTACTTCGTGTAGTGGCTTTAGAAGATCAATTAGCCATTTCGCCGTCGCATGGTAAGGTGGACTGACCATACCTAGAACCGGGCTAAGTGGTAAACCAGTCTCATGTACTTTCGGTAGGCCTATGTGTTACTGTAATATAATTGGAAGTGTTTGAATTACTGTATTAACCAGGAATTCCCGAAGACAGTGCAATTTAAGCCGACTGAAACTAGGTGGGCACAAACGAACGTGTTGTATTTAGAATTCGAAATCAACTAGGAACCAAGTACAAAAGACTCATTAGTTCGTACAAATATATCTGTCACAGTTTAAATAAGAATCCAAATTCATGTAATCGTACTTCTTAGGTTTATTATATGTCAGATTGTGTATTGGATGCAGACTCTCATCTAGAATATACTCATTAGTATTAGAATTAACAATGTAAATTGGAATGGGCTTATATGGTTCCCTGTAACGTATCCAGTTGTTGTGATTGACTTGCATATGAACCACAGATTTATTGACCTTCCATAGTTTGTGGAAAAGGAATTCTTCTAGGGGGTGTTTTTGTTTGAGCAATTTCATTGTTTCTTTTGCGTATGGTTTAGTAGTTCTGCACTGAAGAACTTTGTCTGCTCTTCTCTCTGGGTCTTTTAACTTTGCAGCAGTAGTAGAATTAACATTTATTTTCAAGGTTTTGAGATTTCTCACCTGCACATGAGAATGAGGGGACTTTAAAGTTGTGTCTAATTTTTCGCACTTCGATTCCATAGTTAGGGAGTTATCAAGCATATCATTAGAACCATTTCCAATGGTCAATAAGAAAAGCTTACCCTGAAGCTTTCTTAAATTACCTAAACCTAGTAGGAACGGTCCACGGCCAGTGATTCCCCGACCGTAGCTGCTACCATGACATGGTGGTCGGGCTTGCCTATCGTGATGACCCAACAAAGCTATATTGGCTGGAACATATGTTCCCGTAGGTTCTACCAAGGGATACCAATGGGATCACCAATATCAGGATTCATCGCGGAAGCAGTAATGTAACGACTAGAAACCACAATTATACCAGTGATCAAACCAGAAATTTGGATTCGTTATGTAGACGACACATTCGTCATCGTCAAAAAGGAGAAACTAGAAAACACCTACAAGCAGATCAACAACGACATCAAGTTCACAATGGAACAAGGGTCGGACAACAAGTTACTATTCTTAGATGTGTTAATCACCAGAACTGACACAGGAAAACTAGAGACTCAAGTGCACAGGAAGCCGACCCACACCGATCAAATTTTCAACTACAATAGCAAGAACTCACAAAATCAACTGTGTACAAACTTTGTTCAAGAGGGCGAAAACACAATCACAGCACGAAAAAAATGAAGAAAAACACCTGAAAACCATTCTTCAAAAGAACGGCTATCCAATCAATTTCATCAAAAAATACCAGTCGCACACCATCAGAAACGAAATCAAGTATAAAAATCAACAAAAGGATCACCCTACCACACATAAAGGGCATATCGGAAACGACAACAAGGCTGCTGAAAACCTTCGGAATAGGTGTAGCCCACAAACCAAAGTCCCTCCACTCAATCTTATGCAAACCAAAAAATGAAATGGCAAAAGAGGACAAAACAAATATCATCTACAAGATAAATTGTACCAACGGCAACAAACACTATTGGGCAAAGCGGACACCCCCTGCCTCTTCGCCTACATGAACACCAATTAGCAGTCAAACGCCACGACATTTTTTCACTCATATCAATACACGTGGACAACTACGGACATACATTCGACTGGGAAAATGTGCAGATTTTGGACAGAGGCAGTTCCAAAAATACAAGAGAATTTTTAGAAGCTTGGCACTCAGGTCAATCAGCAATAAACAAACATATTGAAATCAATCCAATCTGTTATATCTAGAGCCTTGATTCTTAATATGCCGCGAACTACTTGACTACTTGAACGATAGAACCCGCAACGTCGCAAAGAGAGAGAAGACAAAGACTGGTAAGCAGGAAGTTTGTTGCCCCGAACAATGTCAAAATATAGCACAGAAATCTCGTGTATTTCTAGTTATCGGCTGAAAATA